CCCCAAAACCCCAAAACCCCAAAACCCCGATAAGTCAATCTTCACATCAAATAAATGACAAAACTTTCTATAAAATCTTAGATAAATAATAAAACTTATTATCATAAATAAAATGAGTGATCCCCATCAAGCTAAGCAAGATTAGACATCCCCAGTTAATTAAAGTTCAAAATAATTTCTGCAAGTCTCACCTACAAATAATGCTAGAAGTAGCTCATTAAGTAATACGAGGCCAGAAGATGATCCATTCAACTCCAGTATTACTGTTTAGGATTTACTAAAGCCAGTGGGTAAGATTTTTACTCATGAATAACATGGAATTTTAGGACCTGGTAATTATGAATTGCCTAATCTTACTGGTCAAAAGCAGATTATATCAACAAAGTAATCACCTCCATCCTTTTCGTTGAGTTCAAGAACTGATCACAATAACAGAGTTATTATCTCTAAGCAGCATGTACAAGAAATTGTGGGCAGAGATTCACCAGGTGTTGGAAGTTACAATTATGACTATTCCCAATTAATGAATAACTTTATTTCAAAGGGAGGAACAAGCACAGAGCTTAAGGCCAAGTATAGTTTCAAGAAAGAAAAGAAATTCTTTTAACTCACCTAAAATGTGGTGCTAAAATAAAATTTGTAAAATCGAGAAACTTTTATTGATTTACTTAATGTAGACCTCATTACTATGATCAAGATTACAAGGCTAAATGGAATAAGCAAGTTGGTGGATTTCCAAAGGATGAAAGATTTAAGTACGCAAGGGCTGATAAGGATCTTGAGGAAAGATCTCCAGGTCCTACTACAGCTTAGATTAGAAAAGACTTTTCACTTCCCAAAATAGGTATTAAGAAAGGAATGAATAAATCCTTTGTTATTCAAAAAGGAGAGTCTCCTTATGACAATAGAGATAGGTTTCAAGATAATAGCAAAATATTCTTTAAGGAATTAGCTGGTGAGAGATAAGGAAGAGACTCTCCTGGATATGTTTACAACACGACTTAAACCATCTCTCAGCTAGGTAACAGAAACAACTCATTCTCGTTTGGGAAGGTAATATTTTACTAGTAAGTTTTATCTTAATCTAGGACACCAGAAAAATCAATGAATTTAAAATGGAGGCCCCACCTCCAGGAGTTTACAACCCAATAGATTTAACATTAGTAAGGAATAAGCCATCTGGTGGAGGCTTCTCAAAGTAAAAGAGAAACTTCGATCTAGTCTCATTTAGTGAAAAGCATAAGATATATGCTGGACAGAAGTTCTTTTGAGATTCAATAAAGTAACAATACCATTATTATATTGGGATTAATTTAATTCAAACCTAATCTATGATTTAATACTTATACCACTCAAGGGGTTTTGGGGTTTTGGGGTTTTGGCT